GGGGCCTCAATACCGTTATCGTTACCGTACATGCGTATTACGTGTTCAGTCTAGGCTCAGTGTTTCTCTACAGTGGCATCACCAACTACTGGCCTGGCATAAATAATACAGCGTTTTTAGTCATTTTCGCAGATCCGTGTGAACGGGGATTGTTTTCTGTACGTGAAAAACGCAAAGGAAAAACTTTTAGTTTTACTTTTAAATTGTTACATTGTTGTTGTCTAAAAACGTTTACCTTCTTAATTTACAAATAATTATTAGGATATAATTTATTATTTTTCTTATATATTTCCTCTTATTATTAAGTTTGTAAACACAGTTTCATGCAAACAAATTAAAATGTGTTTGTGGTTCAGGTTATGGTGGCCGTTGGGACAAAATAAGGATATATAGTAATACCAGAAATGTTTTATCTTGTGAGGACATTTTTGGCCATACCCATACTAGGTAAATTTTTTTTAAAAGCTGACATTTTTCTGTGAGGGTTGTGTTTGGGGAAGGGTTATGGGATAGAATATACAGTTTGTACAGTATAAAAATGTCCCCATGAAACATGGAAACCCAACATATACTGTATGTGTAAGTTGTTATTTTTATTATTTAAGAGGAAGGGGGAAATCCTTTTCAGAGTGAGCAACTAAGTTTTATAGAGGTGTGAAAATTCCTCTGGAAGCGCTGCAAACAGGCATTAACATACCAGTGCAATGCCAAGGTTAGTGGACAGAGCTGTGCTCACTCATTACGTTAATGGTCCCTCAGGAAATAAATATCTATAACGCTTTCTACAGACCTCTAATAAGACGTGGGTAACAACTGCTCATTATAGTGGCTCAGGCCAGAGATTTTCAAATCTCAGGAAAGTGCGGTTAGGCAGGTTCCCCTTACCCTGAAAACGGTTATTTCTTTAAGGGCGTCACAGGACGAGCAGTAAAGGCTTTGATTTATTCTTGGCGGCTGATAATTGCTAGTGTCTTGTCATCTGTCAGAAGGGAGAGATTTGGACGGTCCGAGGTGGAGATTTCATGCTCTCTCTGGGAGGCTATAAATCTCTCAGGGGCCCCTCGTAAATCAGAGGCTGCTGAGTGGAGTGCTGATCTCTTCCTGGGCAGGATTATTCAATGGAAATATTTATTACAATATTTTCATTGTGCTAACTTGTTGTTAATGCGGTGATTAAAACTGGCTTTGGCATTGACACCTCAAACCTGAACAGAATAAATCAATTTCATGTCAAAAATTACATCTCTGAGCCTAAGGCCCTTATTAAAAACATAATCAGCTCAAATAGAAATGCTTTCTCTTGCTCAACAAATACAGAATCATATTTGTATTTTTGGTTATATAATGTGTGTGCATATATACACGTTTGTTTTATTAAGTGTTTTTAGTATTATTTTCAAATTTGGTTGGATTTTCAGTCTTTTCTATATTTATTCATATTTTGAATTGGCTTTCATTTGTATATTTTTAGTGATCGTGTTAATTTCTGTTTAATTTTTAGTCATTTCATTTTGTGCTTTTGTAATTTTATTCGTTTTTTTAATATTGCTTTTTAGGTTTAATTAATTTAAATTCAGTTTTACTTTTACTTTTAGTTTTTTATTTATTTCCAGTTTTTTAGTGCTTTAACTTAAACTTATTTCAGTTTATAAATATATATATTTTTTAAATATATCAGATTTATTTCAATGGATTTATTAAAAATAGTTTTAGTTCATGATAATGATACCCTTGTAAAATGTATTATAATTATATTGACATATTTGCTTACTTCTAGAGCAAAAAATGTCTACATTTCCTTGCAGTTAATAATGACAAATTATGCTCAAGACAAAATGATCTTCTTTTCTCATGGTCTACAAGACAAGTAGTCCCAAAGTAACTGCACTCTCACTGTCCAACTGTTAGCCTTGTAATTGTTTTAGGGAATGGCGTCAATCAGCCTAGACAGCCTCCATAAAAGAGGAGCAGAGGAAGAAGCATGACCTCTCATTCTGTCTGTCTTTCTGCCCTACACTAACTCTGAGCACAGGACAGGCTGGATTGCCCCATAATGATTCGTTTATCAATCATACGACCAAATAACCATGATAGAATAATGCAAAAAATAATAATAATAATCAAACATTGTACAGCAAAGACTGGGAGGATGACTGCTATCCATGGTATGAATGACGAGATGTCAGTAGTGCTTTAGCACTGAACTATTGACTTGCAGCAGCCACTGTTCTTCAGATTAGAGGACATGATAGAGCAGCAGGACCTGATTAGTCTGCGGGCAGTGAAAGGACAAAGATCTGTAGAGATACAGAACAGATTCCTCATTGCACAACCAGAAACATGACCATCATGCAATCTATCAAAACCGAACCAAACAAAATATGCGTTCCCCCTGTCAGCGCTAACCACAGTGTGTAACTGTGCTGCTTAAGCCATGTTATAATTGTCAAACCTGCTCTCTTTTTGCAGGCTTTGAAGTCCGAGTGTCTTTCTGTTCTTATCCTCGGGTGCTGTTCGGGCTTGATTTATGGTTTGTTACAAAGACACTCAAATTATATGGCCCACAAGGCCCAGCACCAACACAGCGCTGAGATCGCACACTGGAGATGATAATTGTATCTGTGGACAAATGTAAATAATGGATCGCAAGTCCTTCACACATGAGAGGAAATCCACAAAATACTAGTTATTTGATCAATGTACAATTTGTCATGAGCACTAACAGACAAATTTAGATTGAACTACCCATGTAATTAATCACAAGACGCACCAGAAAACTGAGACGTTGAAGACTATAGCACAAGTTCAGCCATTATCACTAACACAAAGTGCTAAAAATCATTCTGAGTATTTACCCCTTTTAAAATGAAGTGTCACAAAATAAAACGGTGTAAATGAACAATAAATGTGTGGTATGCAATATACATTACATATAAAACATACTTACATACTTGCGCATATATAAAATATGATTTAAATTTTTTTTAAAATACTATATGCGTAATTACTTTATTTTTTTAACATTTATGTATTTATTTACTTAAACAGTATAACAGTAATCAGTGTTGGGGAAAGTTACTTTTAAAAGTAACGTGCTACAATATTGCGCTACTCCCTAAAAATGTAACTAATTGCATTACTTAGTTACTTTTTACAGAGAGTAATGTGTTATGTTACATTTTCTCACCTGGGTTGGGCTTGCTTGCTTTTTAAATAACAAATAGTTCTATTATTGGCAAACGTAAAGGCCCATTCACACCAAAAGTGAAAAGAATAAGGCTTGAAGCCCAATTTATACTTCTGCGTCGACCTTCCGCTGTAGCTACGTCGTAGGCTGTGTGTAGCGCGCGTACGTATACCCTGACGTGCACCTCTCCAAAAATGTAACAACGCGTCAATTCTACGCGGACGCAAGCGCTGTGATTGGTCTGCTAGAACCGCTCCCTCGGGTTTCACATGTTCCCTCTGCGTGCATCAACGCGGACAACGACGCAGAAGTATAAATTAAAACCAACGCGTAGTCTACAGCGTAGATCAGGGGTGCCTAATCCTGCTCCTGGCGATCGACTGTCCTGCACAGTTAATCTCCAACCCTAATCAAACACACCTGCCTTTAATTTTCAAGTGATCCTGACGTGCTCTGAAGACCTTAATTGGTTGCTTCAGGTGTGTTTGATTAGGGTTGGAGATGAACTGTGGAGGACAGTCGATCGCCAGGAGCAGGATTGGGCACCCCTGGCGTAGAGGCTCCGGCGTAGGCCCGACGCAGAAGTATAAATCAGTCATGCTGAAGGAAATGCAAATTCACACCTGTACAGTAGAGGGCGCAGCTCAAACAAACCTTTCAGCTCTGCTGCTGAAGAAAGTTCAACACTTTTACTTCAGCAATAAAAAAAAAAAAAAAAAGTGATCTTTATCTAAAGTAATTTTTGCTTATTAGAATGGTTGAATTAGATCATCAAAGGGCAGCAGCAAAGATACTGTTTGATCATAAAGAGAGTTTGCATTTCACTGTTTTTATTCATTTTTAAGGAATATTAAATCTGTTTTTGTGCAAGTGAGATGAGTAAATGCATGTTCACAACTTCACATTAGTCTAGAAGTACAATCAGCAAACAGAACGCCTCTGCACTTCTGATTTCTCTCAACATGGGGACAGAAGAGCTGTCAGTCAATAAATGGGAAAACAAAATAACTTGCGTTACTTTTTACTTGAAAAAAGTAACTGATTATGCAGCCTGTGTTATACTCCCAACACTGATAATAATGTATATATATTATATGAATTATAACAGTATATATACAAACACACAGCGTTGAATATACATAAAACAAACACATTAAGATTAAACTAATTATATTTATATGTTAGATACACACAGAGAGAGAGAGACTAAATAGATTACATATAAATTAATGTCATTATATAATGAACTACATGTGAAGTTATCCATCCACTGAAAGCGTTGGGGCCAGCTGATTAAAAGTCTAGCATCGTTTGTTATTAGATGTCAGTTGGTCAGATTGCTTGGTAATATCTGTGCCAGCACTTTCTCTCTCTGGGCCTTACCAAAGTTCAAGGTCAACTTGCCCTTATTCAAAGGCACCAAAAGCTCATTCTCCATCTCTGATGATGATGGTAGTGTTGTCATGAAAAAACAATGTTTTCACTTTTTCCTACAGTTTATGAGATGTGTACATATCTAAAACATACTCAGTGTCTGTGTTTTTATTTGTCTGCGTCTGAGTTTTACTCACTCTTCCATGGCCTGTATGTGGTTGTGCAGATCTTGCTGCAGAAGGCGTGTCTGAGGAGGGAGTAGCTGAATTTGCCTTGGGGAGCTCATAAACACCAGCATTTCTTATAGGTGACTGTACCATGTGACTCCTAAACGAGGTGCTTTAAAGAGAGGCCCGACCTGTCGAGAGGCATCACAGGTAATCACAGGTCGTCAGAGGAGTGTGTGAAAGCCCCATCCAGACTCTTTCACGGGAGGTCGATGACACTGGAAACAGTCTGCAGGTTCTCCATGGCGAGCAGAGGAAGCTTCACCAGCTCCGAGTTCTCCGAGGAGGAACTGGATGGGAGTCCTCAAGGGTCCGAGGAGCTGGACAGCAGCGATGGCAGCAGCCTGACAGGGTGTTACCCCACCGGCACCCTAAGCGAGCTGGAGGAGAGACAGAGCAAGAAACGCAGCAGACCGGTGCGCTCCAAAGCACGCAGAGTGGCGGCCAACGTGAGAGAGAGGAAACGCATCATGGATTATAACCAGGCCTTCAACGCGCTCCGAGTGGCTTTGCATCATGACCTGGGCGGAAAACGTCTGTCGAAGATTGCCACGCTCCAGAGAGCCATCAATCGCATCTCTGCTTTGTCTGTATTTCTCACCAACAACCCACCTGCAAGTACGGGGAAGCCCTGCAGCCACTTCGACTGTCACGGTCCGCCCGGCGGCTTGTGGTCAGAGACGGAGCCGTCGCCTCCTGTCCGCCTCGAATCGCAAAACTTCCTATCCTGGCATCAGCCGCTCACCCACCATATACAAAACCCATTGCACAGACTGTCCTCCGAGCAACACGTTTTTACGGGCCCTGCTTGTCCGCCGTCCCCTCACTACCCGTGTTTCTCAGCTGACGCCCAGCTTTACCCACCTAGCAGTGGGGCAAGCCCACCCAGGTACGGACGGAGAGGGGATGTCGGGACGTATCAGCCAGGAGTTTGGGGCTCTTGTGGCCCGAATCATATAGACAATTACGGGGACACTCTCCAGACGCTGCCCCTGCCCTGGCACATGGGTTACCTACAGGACGCTGGGCCTCAGCACTGCTACAACACACTGTGATTCACACTCATGCTCCAGCACGAGAACTGTCAAGGGCATCACCGCCAACACCTGTAAACAGGTGCATTTCTGTGGTTAGGTCACTGTTTGGAAACACTGTACATATTTGAATAAATATAATTAATGTTAATTGCATTGAGCAAATTATATATAATGAAAAATGAATGTTGTTTGCAAAAGTAATGCATTAGTAAACAAACAGGCCAAAGAAAAGTTTGTAAAATATCTCCTGTAAATTGTTTTAAACATTTGCATTTCATTTTCGTAATAAAATATGCAGAATAGTAACACGCTGACTCTTTTTCACATCAAGGTTAAGAATTTAGGGAATGTTTCTGTGTTTACGTACGTAGCAGAAGTATGTGTTTGTGTTCCCTTCTACTCATATATGGAAAAATGGAGCTTGGATCTTGAACTAACTGCTCATTCTTTTCATAACAGGATGACATTATGTAGCAAAAGTCAACAGAAATCTCATTCATGTCTGTCTAAACAAGTATACTGTATGTGCACATTAGCATACTAGCAAGTAACTATTAAGCAAAGAATTGAATCTTAATTCAGAATGATTTGCACCACATTACTTATTATCTCAAATGGCTTGACTTGATTTTACATGTATTCCTTTAACATATTATACTAAGCATCTTAAAAATGAGGAATACAACAAATCAATTAATGCTTAAAAAAAAGCATGTAACAAGAAGCGTTAAAATACACTTTTTTTTTTTTTTTTTAAGTAACAAGCCTAAAACTAACACACTTGTTAGTACAAGTAGTACAGGCTAGAACAGAAAAAAATGGAAAAGTCAAATGATATTTAAAATATTACAAATATTTTTCAAATATAGAGACATTTATAATATATACACACAACAATGTGTGTGTGTGTGTGGGTGTGTGTATGTATACGTATATACTGTATATATATATTTTTATGTATATATTATATTTTTTGTGTATATATTATAAATAAAAAAAATATGTATAATATATACACACAACAATGTGTGTGTGTGTGTGTGTGTGTGTGTATGTATATGTATATATATATATATTTTTTTTACCCAGATATTTTAGGTATACAAAATTTTTTAACATAGTGCAACTTACTAACTGTTATTTTCAAATAATTTTTTTAACACATGATATTTTATGCATGTTATTCATCAATTCATGTTTTAACATAGCCATATGTAGGCTACTTTTTTAAAAGCTCAGTATAGCTAATTATGGGGCAATCGTGGATGGCCCATTATACCTGTTAAATAAATTATTTAATACAATTTTTAAAACAGTAATTTAATTAAATGCTCATGGGGCCTGGCTTGTTCGGGTATGGTTGGAAAGATCATTCCCATCCCAGGTAAAAGTTTGAATATGATTTTTGAAATATGAGTGCATGGGACCCTCAGGTGAGGTCTGTCCTCAGAGTAGATGAATCTAAACACTGTTAATATTAGACCATTAGCATGTGCTTGTGGACAGATTTATGACCTCACAGGAAGGAAGTGCAAGCTCTACCCATGGAGAGAGACAGAGATAGAGAGAAAATCCCCCTTGGTCTCTTTCCGGCTGCCCCGTGGGCCGTGGGCCTGATCGTGCATTGGGACTTTCATATGGGAGACCGCAGGTGTGTCCAATCGGAGCTACACAAACAGGGCTGAGGCCGGGTGAGAGAGAAAAGGGGAGGGATTTATTGTCTTCCTCTTATTTCATCTACAGACATGAATCATGGAAATCCCTGACTCACAACGATGTGCTGAGTGACATTGACGATGAATGTGTTGAGTGATGGTGACGACATGTCTGTCGTTCTGCCTGCTGTGGCAGTGGGCCAGTCAGGCTTTATTTGAACACATCAGCAGGTTTATATGTTGTTTTCTGCAGTGAGCAAATCTTTCCCGTCAATCCGGACATGGCTCATTTGATTCAATGCATTTGTCATATCTGTCAGATGAAGATCTGTAAACAGTTTAAATAGCAGCAGTTTAAATAATCAGTTGTGCAATGAAAGTGTTTGGACACTAGATGGCAGCACATTATTTGTGCAAACTGGACAATGGCAGGACTTTAACAAATGGAATCTTTATTATTTTCCACACAAAAACAATATCTGGAATTTGTTTCCTTGACCCCAGGTAGAAAAAAACAATATAAATATAAATTCCAGGTTGCAGGTTCAATACATGTTCATCTTAAATGACAGCACTATGTTGCATAATGACATGATGATGCTGATTAGCCTACCACAAAAAATATTTTGAGTTGTCCCAACTTTTATAAATAATGATAAGCTTCACATTTCTGCTTTTAAATCCTCCAAACATTGGTCACAATCACTTGCATTGTAAGTGCTTGACTGTAACCTTTATTTTTGCTTTTTTATACAAGTAGAAATTGTTTTTGTGTTAATACACTTTATTAAGTATTATTGATTGAGCTTGACTTGTATTGAATCTGGAAACAGTGAATGAATCCCATACAGTATGCACATCTTAGAGTTTTAGCAGAACGACAGAAAGGAAAGAGTTAAAAAAAAAAGATGACTTAGTGACATCAGCCAAAAAAGGAAAGTTGCCTATACAGTAGAAAGGTGAGAACGTTTTTGATATCGGTGCTACCTGACCAGAGAAAACAAGGAGAAAAACCTGTTGTCTTCTCTTTAGCCAAATAGGAAAACTTCAACACCCATAATGCACTGGGCATTTTGCTGTCCAAGGCCACTCCCACCAGTCTTCTATGGATTTGCTGACCAGACTAAAATACGGCCTTGCTTTAGTAGGAAATACTTCTTAGCAAACTTTTAGTCATAAGGGTGTTGTCTTGTAGCCTGGTAATACCAAACTCTGCTACTTCGCTTTGCTTCATAGACAGAGTCTGGCATGGCATCATTGAAAAGTGTTTTCTTTATCGCGGGGGGGGGGGGGGGGGGGGGTTGGCTTGTCTGAAGTATAAAATCATTGGTTACCCGTAAGCCAATCACATAACGTTTGGTTATGACGGCAGCATCAGCAGCAGCTTTGGTCAGCTCAGCAGCATCGAACTGCCACTGTAAACACATTATAATGCGAAAACGAAACCATCCAGAGAAATACCGGAGTGAACATGGCTGTCAACGACTTTTGTAGATTATGTGATGTAAATCTACGCATCCACGGCACAAACGGGGCCTCTAAACTATTATTTGACAGTAAAGAGAAACAGGAAAATATTTGCAGCCAACTGTCAAAGTTAGGATTAGTTCTGTCAAACACAGCTCTTTGTTCATTTCAAGTCTGTCGGAAATGCTGCAACTACATTGCTAGATTACAGCATGACATGGCAATATTTACGAACTGGAAAAAAAAGGAGACACGTACTGACCTGTCAAAAGGGTGCCAGTTCGAGCTCGACAGATAAAAGAGACGGGAGACGGGAAAACCTGTCGGGAGTAGGGCCACAACATCACCTCCATTCAAAATGTTTAACAAACACTCTTCTTGTTCGGGCTTCAGTTTGCAAATGCCGGGATTATTCTCCACAACAGAGTGAATTGCATCCCGTGTCTCCATATCCGCGGTCGTTTTCGATTTCCCTAACCTAAAATACAATCTTAAACTCTGCGCTTAGCGTCTACGTCACGGCTCTCAGCCCGCCCTCTGTTCGTTGATTGGCCGGATGTTTTCAGGCCGGAGGAAAACCGAGAGACATGTCGATGTCTCAGACTAAGTACAGAAGCGAAATGAAATTGAGCGGAAGTACGAAGTCTGACGTAGTCAGGCTAGTTGTCTTGTTCCCGGGTGCAAAAAAAAAATCAAAGAATAAACCTGAAGCAGGACTGAGTTACTTACTTGCTGCAAGGAGTTGTAAATACAGAGAGGCCGATACGACGGACAATCTGAAAACCCTCAATGCCTGTAGTCAATATTTCGAATTGGATGACCACAAACACAGTCGCTGTGGATCCTTGTAAGGACGTGGACTTCAAAAGCAGCTACAGTTTTAGGCCTAACGGAGGGGGAAAAAGTAAAAACGGAAAGAAACTGCCATTCTGTGAGTTCCGCAGTATCCGCCCAAACCCCTGAAGCAAAACACCGTCATGTAGATAAAAAGCTGTTGCCATAGTGTTCCATTTTTACCATAATGCTGTTTAAAGAGAAGATATAGTACGATACAATTTTCAGTGGCAAACCCTTACAATAACTGTTCTGTTAATAAAACGCGTCATCTGGCAGACTTTTAACAGCTCCAGGGCTGACGAATAAACGTAAATTACTCAGTCCTCGTAACAGAACGAGTAACCACTGTTCATTATACTACCGACATTGTAACAATACAAAGTTGGTTGCAAATCAGCAAAGTTACACTTTAGTATCTGCGGCTAACACATTGATGGTCCCCCAACAGACATTCTAAGTAACTTTGCAACTACATGTCAACTTATTAACCCTAACAGTCTAATAATATGAGATAATAATAATAAGATGAGAGTTAGTTGACATGCAGGTGCAAAAGATACAAAAAAATAACAAGCATCAATAAATCATTGACAATACAACCAGGAAGGGTCAATAGGGTCAACTCTGATTTCATGTTGATTTTATGGGCTCTCTGGTGCAGCTCAGACAAAAGAATGATCTTATGAGCATTTGTAATGCAGAGATTTGAATGCATTGAGTCATCCATGGCACAGTAACACCTCTCACTCATAAACTTCAAACCCACGCTGATCTGCCGGGTCAGGTCGGGCCGGTCCGCACCACCCCCATGACGTCTGCGGTGGGTATACTGTTGACAGGAGAATGTGCAGAGGAGCACATGCCAAGACACTGAGCACATGAGAGAAAGAGAGAGGGCAGATGACTCACCTGCAACCTCTCTACTGTTTGCTAATGATGGAAGACACGTACACAAACAAAGGCTAAAGCTGCTGGTGGTTAAAGTGTGATAGAGTTCACGGCTATGACCGTTTGGATGGGGGTTCTGGCACTTTCATGCACACAGATTTGGTTTTGGAT